TTGTCTTCATCTGAAAAACATTATTGAAGACATTTTTTTCCCAATCGCCCGTTTTGGAAGGTATTTGTTATTAAATATACAAAGACATTCAATCTTTTGATTGAGGTCTACCATCTGTGATGGGATATCTTTATTAATATCAAATGGACATGCTGGTAGAGGGGGCATACCGTAGAAAAGGTTATTAGGAAACTTAACTTTACATTCATCATCTAACTCATCTCCATCAGAATTGCTTTATAAGTCGGTTATATCTAAATCTACATCAACAAAATCCCCGTAACCATGTAGATTTCCATCTTTCTGAATCATAACTTTTTTCTTTTTACTATCATCCACTCCACCCATATTGATAACTCTAACTTCTTGTTGGGGAATGTCAACATAACAACCACCCATGTCATTAAGATATGTACCAACACCATCATCACCAACGTACTTATAATTTTCAGGATCCACATAGTGAATAAGTGAATACCTCACCTTAACATTTTCAGCAATACTATGAAACTGAGGTACACTAGGAGTCATGAACGTACATATTGGGTTGTTACCCCCTTCATCGTTGGATAAGTTATGAACCCGCTCATTTCCGATCTCGTCACCCTCCGTAACCGCATTACATTCATCAACCACCACAAACACTTTCACAGCCCTTCCTCCAACCGATTTGACTGTGTTGATTAACATTATAACATCAATGTATTCAATCATGACTATATAATGATTTAATTCAGGATGATGAAAATGAACACTAAGTTCATATCTATCTAACAAATCGGTTTTAATTTCACCAAATATATAAAATCACCATAACTAATATACTCGGAAAATATAAAAACGAATTCAGAAATACCTCCCTGTGGACATACATATTCAAAATTTGTTTTTACAAATTCCCATCTCCCACCAGTTACAAGGCAAGTCAAATATTTATACATTTAATTAGAGATGTTTTAAACATATTTTCCAGAGAAACAACAACTAAAGTGATAATTTTTTTGCAAGACTATATATATATATATATATATATATATATATATATATATATATATATATATATATATATATATATATATAGCTGTTTCATAGCCAAACCTATCAATTTTGGAGTCAAAATAAAAAAATAAAAAAAAATTGTGCAAAATCACAAATGAACTTTAGACGAAATCGCAGATGAAGTAAATTCATCTGTGATAATAGCGTGGTGTGAGGGGTTTTTTATACCGGAAAAAAAAGACAATCTATGAACGTACAACTGCCAATGTACGCCTACATTTTAAATACTTGTGTATTCGTAGATCAATAGCCAAAATCACAAGTGACTCTAATTTTTCTACGATTCTAATGGATATTTTTATAATGTGATATTTTTAGTTATTTTTTGTAAAATAATTAAGAAAATTGGTTAAATATGTAATTTTTTTATAATCTTCACTTAATTATTTTATATTGAGAAAATGATAAAAATAGTCATTTACACTAATTACATTACAAAAATAGCAAAAAAAAAAAAAAAAACGAAGTTGCAAAAATAACCACGAATTTCGCAGATAGAATAATCCCATCTGCGAAATGGGCTTTCCATCTGCGAAATTAGCAAACCATCTGCGAAATTCCCTCATTTTCTCTATATAAACGTTTTTTTCTCCATTTTCACTATTCTCTACACAAAAACTCTCTTTATCTCGGGGTTATTTTCGCGATTTTGGCTTTTTTTTTTGAAGAAAATTGAGGATTATGTCAACAATCCCGCAAATATGGTTAGATTTAAACTCTTTTAATGTTTTAACTCTTTATTATTTTATTATTTATTGTATTATTTAGTGTAAAAAAATAGAAATTATAATGTTTGTGAAAGGGTAATTTTGTTGTGTTTGATAGTTTTAATATTTCTTTAGTATAGTTGAACTTTAAATGCTATTTTGTTAGTGGTTGTTTGAATGTACAATTAGAGACTGCGTAGAGTGTGCATCAGGTGGTTTTACATTTAATAAAATGGTTAGAATATGCTTATTTTTTTAAGTTATTAGTTAAATAAATTGTTAGAATAATGTTTACAATTTGTTATTTTTTTTGTATGTTTAGTTGTTGTATAACTTGAAAAATTGTATATTCTTATCGTATAATTGTTTATATAAAGTGAAAAATAGTTAAATTACAGAATGTGCAAAATAATCGTTTGTATATATATATATTTGTCGTATAAGTATAACATTTGTATACAAATATATTTGTTTTTGAAGTATAATTTTTTTTGTAGTATTGTTAGAAATTGTTTGTATTTGTCGTATAAGTTGAAAATTTGTATATATTTGTCGTATAACTTGCAAAATTGTTAATTTGGTTGTCGTTTTATTTGAAAAATTGTTTGTTTATATGGTTAAAAAATGTTATTTTATATAATTAGAAAGATAAAAATTGTTTATATATTTATCGTTTAAGTTGAAAATTTGTTTAACAAAATGTTTATATATTTGTGTATGATATTGTTTTTTATCGTAAATATATCTGTTGTATAACTTGGAAATTTGTTTATATATGTGTATATTATTGTTTTTTATCGTAAATATATAAATTATTAATTAAGAATTTGTATTTGCATTACTAAAATTATTATTGTTTATGTACTTATTGCAATTAATAATCATATATGTTAAAAACAAAATATTTTTTAGTCTCTAATTTGTTTTTGTGTGTTTTTTTTTTTTTTTTTTTTTTGCAGCATGATTTTAGTTTTTTCAATATGAAAACAATTGTAAACTTAAAAGGCTCGGACGGTAATATATGAGAAGTATTTGAAGTTTTAGATAGTGTCAGGCGTGTCATTTTTAGAGATACCGTATTTGGTTATTTGATGGATGTCCCTCGTTTACAAGGGGACGGATTGTTGTTCCATAAAATATCTTTTCCCCGATAAATTCTACTATAGTCTTCAGCCAAAACATCATCAACATATTCACCCAAAACATATTTGTTTGCTTGTCGATGATTAGGTTGCAAAAATATTGAAGAACATGTGTGTACATCAACAAATTTATTCACTTGGAAAAGTCCATCAGAATTTTTAATTGCTTTTGCTCTTAGTAACCAAGAACAATTTTCGAAACACACACATCTTCATACCTTGATTTGGTGGATCCACTTATCCTTGTCTGGAAACCTTCTCGAAGACATTTTTTTTACCAATACACCGCTTTAAAAGTTCTTTATTCTTAAATATACTCTCACATTCAATCTTTTGAAGATTCATGTCTACCATCTGTGTTGGGATATCTTCATTAATATCAACTGGGCATGCTGGTACAGGGGGCATATCGTGAAAAAGGTTATCGGGAAACTTAGCTTTAACTTCGTCACTCAACTCATCTCTATCGGAATTGCTTTGTAGCTTGGTTATATCTAAACGTACATCACCAATATCAACATAATGCCCGTAAACATGTTTTTTTTTTTCATTTTTTTGACTTGATTTTTTTTTTCTTTTTTACTTTTATCTACCACACGCCTATTCATAACTTTAACTTCTTGTTCGGCAACAACAGCACAACGACCACCCACACCATTAAGATATGTACCACCCCCATTAACCTCATCAACTTCATCAACCACCACAAACACTTTCACAACCATTCCTCCACTACATTTGATTATGTTTATCAACATTCTAACATCCATGTCTTCAACTATAATTATATAATAATTTAATTCACGATGATGGAAACGAAGACTAATTCTATATTTGTCTAACAACCAATTTTGCTTCTCACCAAAGATACAAAATCACTATAACTAATATACTCTATTAAAATATCAAAGCAAATTCAGAAATACCTCCCTGTGGACATACGTAATCCAGATTAGTTCCATTAACTTGCTATCTCCCACCGGTTACAAGACAAACCAAATATTCAATAATTTTTTAGAGCGAATTTTAGAGAAATTTCCTAAACAAATAACAACCAAATTGATAATTTTCTACAAAACTTTTTATATAACAACATTATTTCGTAGTCAAACCAATTGATTTCATAGTCAAACTAAAAAAAAATAATTAAAAAATAACCACAATTTCGCAGATGGAATCAGAGTAAATCGTAGATGAGGCTATTTCATCTGCGATTTTACCCTACAAATTCAATATATATAGAGAAAAAAAATAAATCACCTGCAAATATACAACCAGCTAAAACACAGTTGTACTTTAGCTGCTTGTACATTCGCAGATAGAAAACCCATTTCACAGATGAGATTATTCAATCTGCGAATTTCATGGTTACTTTTGCAACTTCGATTTTTTATTTTATTATTTTTATAATATAATCAGTGTAAATGGTTATTTTTATCATTTTCTTATTTATATTCTTCTTTTAAATTAACCAAGGGTTATACTTGTCATTTCACATGAAGACACGTTATAAAGCGACAGGGCGAGTGGGGTAACTTTTAGCCGGACGCATCAAACACCCCTTAAATATGACTGTGAGTAATTTCAGATCCGTTTTTGTCTGATATTCTCTCTCTCTCTCTCTCTCTCTCTCTCTCTCTCTCTCTCTCATATTTCCCAAAGCTCGCTACGGTTTTCATTGGCGTTTTTACTTGAAATCATCGAATCTGCTGCTAACTAGGTCGTAAGAGTGATCCACAGTGATAGATCCGGATCGAACCGTCCCTCTTCAGGTAAACGATCTTCTTAAATCGAAAACTTTTCGTCAATTTTCCTGTTTTTTAACTATGGAGTATGTATCTAAACGATGTATTTATTCGATTCCGTATAGATCTGATTGTTTGATCGACGACTTATACAAGTTTATGTTCGCTGTATGGTTTGGCTTCACTGGAATTAACGACGTTCTGCTAAGATTCGGTTGGTTATGGAGAAGATCTAAAGAAAACTAACCGTTTGTTTAGATCTGATTTTGAATTTCGTTAGATCTATTAGGAGGGAGAAAGCTAATCGCCTACTAGTGACCGTAATTTTTAGAGAGTTAGATTCAGAAATGGAGACGCTTGTAGTTGTTGCACAGCAGGATCAATTTCATAGCAGAAGCCGTGGCAGAAACCATGGATCCTTTGGTTCTTATCCTTCTAGGGATTTCAGAGAAATCAATTGCCGTACCTTTCAATCCGGGCCAGGTATACTTCCAAGCCCACTGAAGGCTCGTTCCCCACCTATTGCTAAACAGTCCTTGCCTACTTCCCCCAAAACACCATCCGCAGCCCCATCTAATGTGAAAAAGCATTTCAACTCCGACCAAAACCCTAAACACACTAAGAGAATCACTAAAAGTAATTCCGTTCCTATCCCAATTGATATTAAACATGTTGATTACTCCCTCAAGGATAACATAAGGGGTTCTTTGAATGACAATTTCTTTTACTCTGAGCTATGGGCTGGACCTGCTTATTCAAATTCACCACCTCCTAGTTCTTTACCTATACCCAAGTTTTCAATCAAGCCAAAAAGGACTGTATCTCTTAACCTGCCCTCAGTTTCAGCTTCTGATATTGATTTGTTGACCCCTGTTGCAAAATCTGCTCCCCCTTCCCCTACAAGGGAACATCACAAGTCTTCTCGTAGAGACTTCTTTAACAGTGACGATGAGTTTGCCACTAAGACTCTTCGTCGCATCCTTAATCTTGACATGGTCGACGAGTGACATACTAGGAGTGTTAATCACTCCTGTAAATAAAAATATCTACTTTCTTGCAGTATTTTAGTGTAGACTGTATATAGGATGAATAAATCAGTAGTTACTTCGGGTTTGCATTTTAGTTTCCATGTAGTTAAGCTCAGGGTGGTGTAATGGTTCAAGGATGCTGATGGCTTGTTGGGTTGTTGGTGGTAGATCAATATTTTCTGAAAGTTGTTACAGATTCATAGGTTGTTGAAGTTTCTTGGGAGATTGAAGTTGGGATTGGAGTATTGGGATTGATGGGACATGTTGATACTGGATCAAATGTCATGGAAGCAGATATTGGGTGTAAAAAGGGTGTGATTGCTTTAGGTGGTTGGTGGTAGATCGATATTCTGAAGTCACAAATACATATTCATAACTTGCTGAAGTTTCTATGGTTGCCTTAGGCAGTGGATAATGATCTCTTCCATTTGTGATAGTTGGTTATTGTAGTGGAGTCATCATCTTTTTTTCTGCTTTTATCTTTTTCTATTTATATCCTTTAAGATAGAGTTAGAATTTCAAGTCTTTCCTTTCGAGGTTGTAATGCTTCTCTTCACCATCTTTTCTGGTTTTTAAGAGAGGAAAGTGGGAAGAGGAAGTAAAGAAGTTAAATAGTTGGTTGTTCTGCCATTTGGTCTTACTTTACTGTGTTGGGAAGAAGGTCATTGCCACTGTTTCTTTGGTCCTTTATTGTAGATCTTGCCATTTGCCAAGCCACTTGAAGGTAAGGATCTTGAATTTCCATAATTCGTATTCAAGTTGTATCAATCGTTTATTCAAATTTTTTTATCTTAATCTTTTTTATACCACATTTGCCAATTGCAGGGAAGCATCTTCAAGAGGCTGTTGATATGGTTGTAGATTTGTAGTTTCAGTTTCTTGGGTTTACTTTTGAAGCTTCTGAAGCAAGACTTGTATAAAAAGGTTGAATTTTTTTTTTTTGTTAATGGCTTTGATGTTAAGATGTTACCTATTTATCCAATTCTAACATATGCCATATGATTTGATCCATTGCAGTTTGATGGGAGAAGCTTTTTCTGGAGGCTGTTGTTTCAGCTATGGTTGTTGGTGTTATGTTCTACTGTTTTTTACATTCAGTTTTTGAACCTTCTGAGCAAAGACTTTATTTTGAAGGTTATGTTTGTTTTTTGTTTCGTCTGATGAATGACTTTGGTTTTAAGTACAACACCTTTGAATCAATCTAGACTGCATGTTTTTTGTTTGACAACTTTCTGGTATCGGATGAGATGCTTAATATGCTTTTTTATGTTTGTTTGATCTTTTCACCATTTTAGTCAATGCAACAATTTTACAATTTTATGTAAAGCTTAAGTAAACTTTTTTTTTAAATGATAAAAAGTTGTAAGTTCTCTTGCATTAAATGGTGAAAAATAGTTAAAAGTTATTTTCTATCATTTTTGTTGTATGCCATATTTTGTTATCTAACCTTTTTATTTAAACAATAAGATAAGATGCTAAATCTGTTTTTTAATGAAATGTCATTTTATGTTAAATTTCTACGAATATAAAACAAAAGATATAAAATTGGTTGCGAATTTTCTGATGATTCAAGTCGTCGGTTCTGTTAATTTTGCAGCAAGTGAAGTAGGTGTTGGAATTTGACAATATGCACATGGTGTCATGGTTGATGGTTTTGATTTTATTAATGATTCTTATTAAAGATTCTCTTTTCTTAATTAATATTTATCTTGCTTAATTTAAGGTTACTTTCTTATTAGACAAACAAGAAAAAGCAAGTAAATTAAAAAAGCAACTTGTTCTTTAAAAAGCTAATAGTCTTGCATTGAAAATTCTCCATTATAAGATATATTAAAACAAAAAATAAGAAAACTGGCTGGCATTATACAACTCCCAATTGGTTGAGGTGAAAGTTTTTCAGATTGCAGGTTCCGAGTTTAAAACGAATAATTAACTAACTTGGTAAATTTAATTTCTACTTCTAACTAGACAGTTAAAAAAAAAAAAAAAAAAAAAAACTGGGCTATATAGCGGTCTGGATCAACTCAATTGCAGAATTCTAACATCTAACAGTATTTTGAGCGAGTTTGAGATCTCCACAACAATTAGGCTCTCACAAAATATATTAGTTTAAATAACAATTGAAAAGGTTGAACAAATTCTTTTCTCTCCAAATATCCTTATATTGGGGATTAAAGTTCTGGAAAAAGAACCACCAAACATTTTTCCTCTTCGTTTATATTCCCAATGAAAGACATGAAACACAAACTTTTTTTGGTTTCTCTATATTTTTTTGAACCACGCCTCTCTTCAAGAATATGGTCGTTATATTTGTTGAAGTATAGTCCCCATATACAATAGAGCATAGGTTAATATTTTTGCATTTTATTCAACTCAAGAGAGCTATTTACTCCTTCAAACACATTACAAAAGATATAACAAACTATCGACTTAATTGATCTTCATCGTTATCGAGGAAACTACAACATTGCATGATTTGCATCCACCTCCATAAGATAAAGTTTGAAGGGTAAAGTAGTCATTGACACAATTGCTCTGAGTTCATCAATTCATCCATAATCATTTCTTGGCATCTGCATTCTTCACTGCAAAAACCTTTCTCACCCCTGTAATCACATAAATCGACAGCTTAGTTCATTATCTTCAACAAAAATCAAAAGCAATTTTACATCAAATTTTGTTTTTTTTTTATTATTATTATTATTATTATTTTTTTTATTTTATGGTAAAATTACATCACAGATCACTTCCATTTTTAGCAAATTAAAGTAAAAAAACTCAAATTTCGGCGAACCTGTACATGAAAATGTCGCTATTCTCTTCAAAATTCTTCTTGCAGGTATAACACAAGCTTGAAAAGCTCTGCCATGGCGATTTCGGGCTATGATCCGAATGAAGAGCATCACAATAACTGCCCACAACACAATTATCGTAAATATGGGTGATTTTTGGGTTAGACCCATAAGAGATTACTCTTGTGTACTCCTCTGAGAGCTCCATCTCACTCAAAGACAAAGCATCCATTGAAGCTCGAGGAGATCCGGGTCCATTTGTGGTTACCCGACCCGGCGACTGCAAATTCCTGGACTTGATCCCAAAATCACAAGGATCTTTAGAGTGTGACGGGATTTGAATCCTGAGGGTTGATCCAAATAGAACCTTTCGGCTGATGGAATTAGGTTTGTGTATCGTATTATTAGGGTTTTCTTGAAGAAGAGCAAGAGCAATTCCATTTTCACATTCAAATTTCTCAAATGGGTTTTTGATTTCATCAGAGATCTTTCTGGGTTTTTCTGGGCTTTGTTTGAACTGAAAAGGGTTACTTCTGAAAGTCGTGAAAAATTGCTTGGTGTCAAGAACTGAGGTTGGTGATGATTCTGCATCAGAAAGGGTTTTTGCCATGAAGACATTGAATAGCCTTGGAGAACCAAGAAAAGATGAAATCTGTTTGGTGGGGTTTTGGGTATTAGCCATAGAATTATAGATCACTTGAATCGAAAGATTTTGTGTTATCACAATGCTCGATTGAATTTAATTCAATAAGAAAGAGGGATCGAGAAGAAATGGATTCAAACAAAGGGCAAGAAATTTGTTCATGCCCTTCATGGGTTTTATGCAATGATTGATCAAAAGGCTCACTTTTCCAAGCTTCAAAAAGTAGAAACAAAAAGAAAAGAAAACATAGGCCAAATTTAGCACCTATAAAAGTTTTATTTTGGTCAAATTTAAAATGTATTTAATAACGATTTTTTAATACAAATGAATAATGACAAAACTTTGAAATATCATAGCTTTTGCATAGAATAGATCTAATTTTGAAAACTTAGAGGTGTTTTGAGATTTTATTTTGATATTCAAAAATTTTAAATAGAAAGAGTTATTCATCTATGGTGGTAGTAAAAATATTCTTTTTATTGATTTATGATGGTGGTAAAAATATTTGGATTTGTTTTTATATTAAGAAAAAGTGTCAACAATTTTATTTTATTTTATTATTTTTTTTAAAATATATTGTTTTAGTTTAAGGATATTTTAAGATAATATTCACCTTCACAACTCAAAAGTCATAAGAAGTTTAGAAAAATTATAAATTCTAACTTCTTAAAATCTACTTGTTGAAAGGTTAATGAGAAGTTGTTTTAAGAGGGTGTTTGGTTTAGTTTTTGTGAGATAAAAATTCTTTTTGTAAATTGACTTTTTGTAAAAATTGTTTTTTAAAATGTGTTTGTATTAGCTTTTGAAGGGAAAAAAATCAAAAGTTAAAGTGTTTGGTTTAATTTTTATATGCAAAATGACTAAAAATGATATATTTACGTATTTATTGGAGGTAAATGGAGATATGAAAGTAATTTTAATGTTTAATACTGTTGAAAAGTTGAAAATGTCATGATTTCATGACTTTTCAAAAAGATCAAATTTACTCTGTTGGAAAAGTTATTTTCAAAAGTCCATCTCATCTTCCCAAACATCTTTATGACTTTTTTTAAAAGAAAAAGCCAAAAGTCATTTTAGAAATTAAACCAAACACCCTCTAAAGGTCATTTTTTTGTCAAACATTATTTTTTTGATTTATTAATTTTCAAAAAATCAATAAGTCAGTAAGTTGTTTTGAGATGAAATCGCAAATACCTTCTTAGATTGGTATCAATGGTGTTGTTCTTCTTTAGGAAAATAACTTATAAGGATAATTATGCTTTATAAAACACCATTCAAGTTTCGTATGCTGAAAAAACACCATTCAAGTTTCGTATGCTAAAAAAACACCATACAAGTAAGATATGTACAAAAAAAGCAACAAACTACATATTTTGTTTTTCACCTTGTGGTAACCGATTTTACCAGTGAAAATTAAATAAGGGACAAATTTGCAAAATGGTTCTTGTGGTTGGCAAAATTCTACGGTTTTGCTTGAAACATCCCAAAATCACGGTCCAAAATTTTCGTTTTGAAATTCAATAGTAAACCACAAACATCCATAGTCTTAAGGAAAATCAAGTATCATGTATCTCAAAACATCGTGACAAGTACTAAATCAAAATCATATGAGAAAAAATATCAGAGTCTAAACATCCCAGGCTGAAACTATGGTGTGTGCCATGCGATCACACCGAGCCCTTGCCCTTGCTACCGGAAGTACCTAAAACAAGAACTGAAAACTGTAAGCACGAAGCTTAGTGAGTCTCCCCAAACTACCACATACCATACATATATCATGTAACTAGGAGATACAGGCCCCACCCACTCTCATGGAGATTAGAGCCCCGCCCACACTCCGTTGTCTAGGAGATTCGAGCCCCACCCACACTCCGTTGTCTAACATGCATACAAGTATCACACAGAAAACAAGTATATCTTCCAAACAACCACATATCTATGCTTAAATAATACTAAGAGAATCGTGCCCCACCCACACTAGACTGCTACGAGATTCGGGCCCCATCCACACTCAGCTACTAATATATCATATAGACGGGCCGATCTTGGTGCCTTCGACCCATCCCTACTGAAAGGAAACTCACCTCGTGTGACATCCCCAAAATCTCAGCCAGAAAAGACCGATTTCATTTATGTTTCTTTAAAATAATTTCAGAGTAAATCCTTTTGATTTAAATGAGTTGCGGAATTTGTTCCCAAAACAAAATATGATAAAATAATATTTATCAAAGCATTTCATCAAGAGATACATTTTCATTATATAATCAAAACTTGGGATGTCATGTTCCGATACAGACCATAAAGCATAAACGATAACATTACAAGTCATTCAACAAATATATACATATACAGACTTGTAAACAAAACAACTTGATGATTCATCCATCTTATGCCCTCGCGCCACTTCCTGTAATGCAAATAAGACTGAGTGGGTCAGGCTTAGGAGCCTGGTGAGCATATAGGGTTTTCAACCCACAATAAATAATTATATTTAATTTCACCAACCAACAATAACCCGATTACCCATTCCCGTTATTCTCACTTTATGTCCCTAAAACAACATCTATCTCAAGAGACCAAATCTAGGATTTTCATCGGGATGGACATTACTGCTAAGGGGTTTCCTCAACAATAGATATCCTAAAGGAAACCATGAGGGGGATACAGTACACCGGTGAACACATCATTCACAACACCTACAGGTTATGAACCTGCTAGCGTTCCACTGCACAGAGTCGGCAGAAAAGTTACGCCGATAAGCATCGATCAGACCTGGAGTTCCAGGTCGGGGATATGGTTCTCATGAAGGTGTCGCCTTGGAAAGGCGTCATTCGATTCAGGAAGCGGGGCATGTTGGGCCCGAGATTCATTGGTCCGTTCATGGTTGTAGCCCGGGTGGGCAAGATGGCATATAGGCTGGATCTGCCAGCCGAGCTCAGTCAGATCCACAACACCTTCCATGTCTCCCAGCTGCGGAAGTGCCTCGTGGATGATTCAGCGGTGGTGCCATTAGAGGATATACAGGTTCATGACAGCCTGAATTACATTGAGCGCCCAGTCGCAATCCTCGAACGGAAGTCGAAGGATCTAAGGAACAAGAGGGTGGAATTAGTGAATGTGCAATGGCAGCACCGCAAGGGTTCGGAATGGACTTGGGAGTCGGTGGAAGAAATGATGGAGCATTATCCCGAGCAGTTTCAGGATCGAGCGGCAGACTTCGAGGATGAAGTCTAGAATAAGTGGGGGAGATTTGTAGCACCTGGTTCCTGGTACGTAAAAATTCATCTTAGTGTTTTTTTCATTTTTAGCCTTGGACTCGGCGAGTTGTAGGTCCGACTCGCCGAGTAGAGACGTGATCTGGAACATGTTTAAGTTGGTGACTCGGCGAGTCTATATTCTGGACTCGGCGAGTCCCCGCTGTCTGATTAAACCCTAAATTTCAAGGGTTTGCACCCTATTTAAACCCTCTTATCAGCCCCTAAGCTCGCCCCCTTCACCCTCAGAGCTCCCAACATCGTTTATACCCCTATTCCTTGTGAGATTGAAGTGTTTTGGTCTGTTATTGAAGATTTTGAGGAGAAAGAAGAGTAGATCAAGAAGAGGAGAAGGAGGCCAGGCATCTTTGTGTCATCTCAACGTTTTCCTTGAGGTATAACTCGTTTCCCCTCTGTTTTCATGCTTGTAGTCTCTATTAGCTACATGGAAGTCCTTCTTGAGCCATTCCCCAAGCTTGTTTGTGCATTGTGGGTTGTAATAAGTTGTTAGCCTCTAGATCTAGGCATGATTGAGTCCCCGGAGCTTGGATCTACTGCATTTATGGAGTCATATTGCATGAAAGCCCTAGATCTACTCTTTTGGTGCATTTTGAGCCTTAAAACCTTCATTGGTGATTATTTACACGTAAAGTTGGAAACTTTACGTGTAAATCATGCCCTAGAAACCCAAATCTGTGAATGGCATGAGCTGGATTCAAGAAAAATCGAGTGTATAGTAATTGCATGTGGCCGACTCGACGAGTCGTCCCTCGGACTTGGCGAGTCAAGTCGCAAGTCCCCGAGTTTTCCCCTTTTTCGTGTTTGCGGGTTGGAGTAGTGAGTCATAGGGTGTGACTCAGTGGGTTGGAAGCCAGACTCACTCATGTAGTAACTCGACGAGTCAATGCCATGACTCGGCGAGTTCAGGGCAATCTTCTTGCCTCAAGAACAGACTCGGCGAGTTGTTCATACAGCTCGGCAAGTCTCAGCATAGAGTGTTCTTCAAATGAAGAAGAACTCGGCGAGTTGTTCGTACAACTCGACGAGTAGGATGAAGGACTATTGGCCTTTAGCTTAGAAGGAAAACTCGTCGAGTCAATGCCAAGCTCGACGATGGGATAGTGGTCAGACAAACGGATAGGGACTCGGCGAGTTGACAGGCCAACTCGGCGATTCGGGTCAACTGGAAGATGACTTTGACTTTAACTCATGGTTTGGTTAAGGGTAAATGGTTAGTTTACCCTAAGGTCGGTTAGTAGTATTTGACTAAGTGTTTTGTGGGAATTGCAGCTGGGGGATTTTCGGAGCAGCAGCAGTAGACAGACCATTCCCACACAGATCAACAACTACTACGAGGTGAGTTACCTTCCAGTAGCGGTGGGTCTAAGGCCACAATGCCGGCCCACCAGTAGGAGATGTATGATAGATGATTGTCTTTGTGATATCATCTAGGTTTGCTACTACCTGATATGTTATATGCTAGCATGATATGTTGTATGTGATAGTAGTAGAGTTCGGTTGTTAGGACCGAAGGGTAGTCAGACACCCCAGGTACGTCTGACAGTATGTGATGATATGTTTGCATGCTGGCTAGTTATGTTATATGGGATAGAGGTGGTAGGAGGGGACCAGTCCCCGAGTTCGGTTGTTAGGACCGAAGGGTAGCTTAGGCACCCCAGATATGTCTGATAATATGTTATGTTATGATATATGTGATAGTAGCAGTAGGGGTGAAATAGTCCCTGAGGTTCGGTCGTCAGGACCGAAGGGTAGTCAGCACCCCAGAATGGCTTGACATGGGTAGTCAGCACCCCATAATGGCTTGACACGGGTAAGCTGGCACCCTAGAATGGCCGTACCGGGTAGGTCGGGCACCCCAGAAATGCCTGGCAATATGTATGATATGCGATTGTATGGTATGCGGTATGATGGGGGAACTCACTAAGCTTCGTGCTTACAGTTTTCAGTTTTGGTTTCAGGTACCTCTTCTTCGAAGGGGAAAGAGATGGTGC